ATCCTACACCTTGAAAAAAGGACCATGGGGAGTTTAGCCTTGCTATTTAGCGTCTCCTAACAGAGTAACGAGCAGCAGCATTCATCATGATATTCCAAACTTTCAAGCCACGTATTATTCCTCTTCTTATCACGAAAGACATTAAATTAGTTCATCTTTAAAATAAACAGGAAAGAGGATAGGCAACTTCATGAAAAACTCAATATTCTGGATGCAAATTCAACAGTGGCATAAAAAACAAATGGATGAAGAAACAGGCGCAAAAATTTCCCAACTGAGACATCAAAGCCGACTCGAAGTGTTTGGACTAAAAACAAGTTTTTGGGCACGAAAATGACGAAACAACTAAATTCACACTTCAAAAAATTTCAAATCTAAACTAATAGGGCTCAAACTGGGAAATACCTGCATTTTCGGTAGGAGCTTCAAAGTCGGGTTACCCGTTTTTACTCTGAGGTTATGTATATTTGTATTTTTGAATCGACACTCGCTCTTTTACATGCTGTTCCCACCAGGATAAATCATCTTGCTGTGAAATTTCAGAAGAATTGGTTGACATTCCACCCAAATTTATTCACCAGATACCAAATTTGACTCTACGACCTGGTACTGAAGCTGTCATTGATGTCGAAGTGGAAGCAGCACCTCCTGCCAGGTAGAAACACTTGTTTTTTAAGCATATTCAATTCGGCAATTTACTAATTCTTTTTCCTTTACCTTTTTTGAATAACACTACATTCGATCTTACTTTTGGCCTGTAAGCTTTTTTGTTTTGGCATCACAAACCATTGCATACAAATTTTCTGAATTTTCTGAAGATCACCAAACGAGACCGTGTTATCGTGGAAAAGCCGGCGAAGAAGCCACCACAAAGAAAAGAGGAGAAAAGAAAGGCGTATCTTACCTTGAAAGGCAAATACACAGTAGATGTTCTGCCAATTTGAACCTGGAGCATAAGGACCGGTGGTGTAGTGATAACGCATTGCGTCCAGACGTGAAAATGAGTGGTTTGTTTCCCTCCCGGTCCAAAGCAATTTTCGAGAAGGGCCTCCTTTCACGACATCTGTATACAAATTTGCGTGCAAGTTTGGGCGCGTGACCGTTGGCCTCAGATCTAGACTACATTGCATCAGTGCGAGATGAATAACTAAATCTCACATCTTAAATTTCACCCTGATCGCAGTGTAATTTCTTCTGTGGCACCATATCCAAATTTAGGTTAGTTTAGCGAATCAACGGTGTTGAAAGCGTTCGTGTAAGTCAACAGTAAAAAGGCATCCAAAAATTTGAAAGTTCGTTTCATAACAAAAGCCTCGGACAAATAAACCTGAATAATAAGTCAAATTCAAATTTAAATCATGTTGCAGTATTAGAAAGGTTGAAAACAGATCAAAGCCTTGTTGCTGCTGCAGTCCTCAAAGAACTAACCATTTTATATTCTATTAATGCTTCTGGAAGCAGATCACTGTATCTCTGTCAAAGAATGATGTTCACGTATGATCGGAGTTTTATGTACGGGGAAACTGATGCCTGAAATCATCATTTTTTTCTTTTTGCCTTTTCTGGGTCCTTTCATATACATTTATAGAAAACTTTCGATGCCTGTGAACATTAGAATACATGGACAATCTTTGCACTCGTTTGCAGATTCACTTGGTATGTGAATGGGGTGCTTTTTCGCGATGCTTCTGGACAGATCGAAGTCTACTATCCAGTGGCTAATCGTTGTGTTGCTCGCTTCCCAATCCCGCAAACGGGAGAATATAAGGTGGTTGCGGAGAATAGGGCCGGTAAAGATGAGAGCATCGGCTATATCGACATTAAAAAGGGTAACATTTCTGTATTTATTTACAGTTGCAAAATTTCTCCAAACTAAACAAAATTTTTGCACAGGTTTTTTTTTTTTCATAAAAGACCGATAATTATGTAGGGTATGTAAAAAAAAACTTTTACGCGTTAAAACTGAAATATCACTTGACAGTTTTCTTACAGAAGTGATGTACCGTCAAGCGCAGTTGCCACCACTGCCCAGTGATCACATTTATCACCGTGCAAACTACACGGAAAGTGGACGTCGTAAGTGCTTTAAATGCTTCATTTTGAAAAATAACAATGCGGTGAAAAATTGGCAGCTTTTCCATTTGTTTTGTTTCCTGACTCCAGAACCAATTTTGTTTTATTTTTTAGCTCTCACTCAAAATAAGGGGTCGTGCGGGTCAAAACTGGGCATTTTACCCGTTGTCTTTCCTCGCTGCTTCATAGTCCCATGCAAAATATCAAAATATAAAATTTAAAGTGATGAGTGTTGTTTTCTTAGCAAAATATTCAGCGTAGCTGCAATTTGCAGGCGAGGGGCCGTACCTGAAGGGAAGAGGTCGCGCCTCCTCAGTAACGCGAACCGTCGACGTTTACGAAGAAAGCAGCTACTATCAACGCTCCACTAGCTTACCGCGACAAAGCGAGCGGCCTTATGAATATAAGAAAACGGAAATTATTCGCAAAGATGGTGAGTAATTTTTGCGAAGAAAATTTTGTAGCGTTCAGTCTCCATAGCGTGCTAGCGTTCGGTTCAACTAGCTTCCAAAGAAGCGCGGATTTAGGCCTTGGCTCTCAGTGATTCATCATCTGTAAACTGCTTTGTTACGGGAAACAGAGGCCATAAGGGTATGCTTACTTGAATTTAGTACCATAGACAGCCTTGTATAACTGCATTTTTTCATTTTTTTAATTTTTTTGAATTTATATAAACGAAAACGTATCATGGTAAAATGGCATGAGTGGGTGTGTGTGTGTTTGCGTGTATGTTTGTTTGTGTGTTTGTGTGTATGTGTATGTGCGTGTGTTTGCATGTGTGAGTTCATGTGTGTGTATTTATGTGTGGATGCATGTGTGTATGTATTTACGTATGTGTTTATGTATGGACCCTCATCAGCAGCTCATCCTCTGGATTACGGAGCTAGGAAGCCGAAATTTTGGGACCAAATTGGAAAAAAAGATTTTTGGGACGTTCTGGGTGATCTTAAACCTGAATTCAGCTCTTATTTCTCTGCTTATCAGAACCAATAACTTGAAGCAAAAATTTCGGCTTTGTAACTGAAGGATAGAAAGCGGCAAATTGAAAAAAACCAAAACGATGCTGGGAGGATAAACTCGCGTACCGGGTGCACCTATGGTTTCCGATATGCTCGAAGCCTGTTTTCAGATTAAAGAATAGATTTGAATCACAGTTCCATTTACTGCCTGATGCAGCGACGTGATTGTGTTGCACTAGGACTAATTAGAAGAAACCAGAAATTCTGCGAACCATTCGTAAAATAAATTGAAGAAAAGTTAGTAGAAATTCGATTCCAAGCGTTGTTAAATTGTGATCATCGGCCGCAACTCCAAAATCGGACAGATTTTGCAATTCGGAAATAGCACAGTCTCGAAACTCCAAATTCCGGTTTTAACTGTCTGCATGTGATAGGCTAGATGATTGCTTGAAATCAATTTCGAAGCGTCGTTTTTTATAACCTTCACTACACGGCCAAATACGGGACAATATAATAACTCAGGGATGCAATGAGCTATAAACCAGGGCCTTTGATGTTTTACATTTGCTAATTGTGATTGGAAAATCATGGGAAATTTCCGTATGTATTGTCCCAGTGGCCAGCTGGGCACCCGAAACAGCTTATTACGAAAACATATAACTGCGCCAGATCTCTGCACGCGATCATCAGTCATTTTCATTTTGAGTTATGCAATTTTACAGCGATAATTATTCTGTTGTTCATCGACACAGCTAACAATACCTTTCGGTTCAGTTTGATTTGCTTAATTTAGTTTCTTTTTTGGTTATGCAAATTTTTTTGGGTGTCGATGAATTATAGATGTCACAATGCGTAAACAAGACTGCGATCCTCTGGGTTCATCATTGTTGCAAATGATTCCTTTTTAAGTGTTTTTGCATACACAACTGAAAATCCTCTTATGGTGAAACAGTACTCTTGTATGTGTACATATAGGTCTATACTATTAAAACAGTAAAGATGGAATCTTAGTTCAAGATCTTGTGCGGGACCAAAAACCTGCAATCAGCTTCGGGTCTTTGTACGTCTTAATCTTCGCTTTATAATTTAAATTCGGAGAGCCTGGACTAGTAATTTTTAGAGATCAATTTACTAAATTATCTAGGCATTCAGTCTACTCAGGAACCATCAGAAAAGGCTGGATCTTATTATTCAGTAGGCATTTTAGGTCGGCTGGCGGTGCCAAGCCGATAATATTCAGAGCGTGAGTGGATATAAGCAGTCAGGTGAAGCAGTACCCTTAAGATCTGGCTTCTGAATTTGTACCTACAGTTTAGGCCGCTATCGAATGTGTCGTTTCCAGAGAACATACTGAACAACATGCGACAACCCTAGTACTTAGGCCGCACTGAAGCCCCAGTTTCAGGGGCTATTGATGCCTTTCCTATGAAAAAAAAGCAAAAGATAGAGAGGCCTTAATAAAATCGGGTTTCTGTTCACTGAAATATGGTTTCCTCTAATTATTCCGACCAGTTATGTTTAATGATAGCTTCCTCCTGTTAAATTTCAAATTGAAAAAGAAAAAAAACGAAGAAAACCACATATTTATAAAATGTGGTTGAATTCATTGCATGCTGTAGTGCTAGAAACTTGGAGGCATCCTTTTTCTTTGCGCAGTGACTCATAACTTCGAAAGAATTCGAGCTATTTCATCTTGCGCATGTTCTCGGCAAATAACCAAAAACGTATGATTGCTTCTGTTCACACGTACAATATTAGTTTGTTTTAATACTTTTATATTGCTTTTGATAAATTTCTAGATTTCTTTTTCCTTAAAATTCACGTAATACTTTAATTCGTTTGCAAATTTGTGAATCGTAAAGGAATCGAAGGAATTCCTTTCCTCGTATGCGTGTGACTACAGTTTCCCGAAAATAGTGCTAACAGCAATTTATAAACTTTACGATTTTGAACAATACTTTGTGAGGGATGTCGATGGAGAAAGGAGGGTTCGCAACCAGAGGTGTCTTGGGCATCTGAAACAGGTTGGCTGTCAACTAGAAATTCTCCTGTAAGAACAAAGTGTGAAACAGCCTCCACTGAAAGCACAAGGCTCGTGAATTTAGGAGAGGATTTTAATTAAAATTTCTGTCAGCGTAATAATAACAGCATTTCTGCAGAACTTTGCGAGATTTTTTTGTTAGCAGTCAAGTGCTACTTTGAGTTTGATGCTACTGTGCTACTGCTATACTACTTATTCCTTAGTTTTTTTGGTTGATGAAAATTAATTGCTAATTTTCCTTCTTCTTTCCTATATACTTTGCAAAAATACTTTTTCAGACCGGGATCAGTTGCAGTTGCAGCAGAAGCGGCAATTGGTTGAGCAGGATGAGGTTCAGATCGAAAAACGAGTAAGCGAAAGTGCGCGGTCACTACCGCAGGCGCCAGTTTTCACAGATAAGCTTCCGGATGAAGTTTCGATTGCAGCTGATGAAAATTTGGTGCTCAGCGTTGGTGTAAAAGCAACACCGCAAGCAGATGTTAAGTGGAACGTGAATGGATTTGAGCTTAAGGAGTCCAAAAACGTTACTGTAATCAACGAATCAGGCCAATCGACACTTATTGTTCGACCACCCATACGATACGGCCGCTATAGTGTGACTGCCGTGAACCAGTACGGGATGAACACACAGGCGACAAGGGTACTTCGTCGTGAAGAGGAGCAGTTCGAACAGGTCGAGGAACAGGTTGTTGTCCGGCAGCGGCTATCTCTCCCTCCCGAATTTGTCGAAAATGCGATATCCGTTTCGACGTCAAGTGCGCTTATGGACGGGTGGGAACTAGTCGATGAGCAGCACCAGTCCAGCAGATCTGCAGACTCTTTGGAAACTGTTAAATATGCAAAAGCAGTTGTGGCAACTGAGGGAGGTGGAGGTGCACCGTTACTTCCTGAACCACTTCGAGCCTCCACTTATACCGAACAGCGTTACGAAGAAACATGCAGCGCAAAAAGTGAAGTCTTTTATGAGGCGCCATCCAAGCCGGGAACTTTAATAATACATGAACCGTTGCAAGCTACAGTTGCTACTGAAGTTGCATCGGTGCGCAGTGCCGGCCTCACAAAACTGGAATCAGCAATTGAAAGGCCAAGGCCACCACGAGTACCACCGAAGCCAATTACACCAAAAATACATGAAGCATCCACTTTTACGAAACGAAAATACGAGGAAGCCGTTAGCGTAGAAAGTGATGCTGTGCTGTATGTGCCAACGCCAAAAGCTGCGAGAGAAGCAGAAACTATTAGCAGGAGTGAAGATGAAATTATGGAAAGAAAGAGGTTTCGTATACCAGTGCACCGAACAACCGAACCACTTCCCAAACGTCCTTTTGTTCTGAAACAGCCGGAGCCAGAAATTCGCTTGAAAGCTGGCGAAAAACTTGTCCTGGAATCCAAAGTCGACTCGCACCCAGAATCTCAGTTCAAGTGGTATCAGAATAATTTTGAAGTCAAAGCATCACCTCACGTGCTCATTGAGAGCCCGAGCGTGAACGAAAGCCGCGCTGTTTTCATGAAACCAGTCAGTGGAACATACAAAGTAGTAGCTTCCAATGAACACGGCTCATGTACTAGTGTTACTCGTGTTGTTACCGAAATTAGCGAGGCTTACTGGGAAGAAGAATCGAGCATTTCAGCTATTAGGCCACTGCCCGAAAAATATGAGCCCAAGTATCAGCTTGTAAAAAGACCACGCGTCGAAAAACGGACCGATTTACCCAAAGCGCCACAAATTGTTGAAGGTTTTGCACCAATGCTAAAAATCCGGAAAGATGAGCTGCTTGAACTGCGCATAGTTGTGGATGCAATACCGGAAGCAAAATTTCAGTGGTTGTTAAATAATTTTGAAGTGCGGCAGAGTCAGACCGTTGCCATCGAAAGTCCCGGTCCGAATGTTTCGCAGGCGGTATTCCGGGAGCCAATCAGTGGTCGTTACGAAGTAATCGCTACAAACCCGCTCGGTCAAGTTTCATGTTCCGGAAAAGTACTGGTAGAAATTGCGGAAGAACTCCTGGTTGCACCCGCTCAACAAATTGGCCCAACAGAATTGATAACAGGGCAATCTCCCGTATTCATCGAAGCGCTACCCAGTGAGACGCAAATAAGCTCAAAGCAGCAGGAATTCCAACTTTCAGTCCTTGTTGAAGGCACGCAACCGTTCACGTTCCGTTGGTTTGCGAATGGCAGTCTTCTGTCGAACAGCGTAGAACACCAGATGATCAACGATGTGCAGAGAAGTACACTGGTTGTGCGAAAGACGGTAGTGCATAGCGTGGATTATGCCGTTGAAGCTTCCAATGTTTACGGTGCTGTTTGGTCCCAAACAGTGGTGAAGCCTTCCCCGGCCTTCGAAGTCGAGACAGTATCTCCAGAAATAGTTTCTCCGCTGAGTGTACCGTCGGAGGCGTACGATACACAGCGGCTGTTGCCACGATTCACGACCGAATTAACATCAATGGATCTGCTACAGGACGATGATTTTACTGCTCATGTTACCATTGATCTCGATTCAAGTCCCTGTGAATTCAGCTGGACTCTAAACAGTCGCGATGTCCGAACCATTCCTGGATTTCACGTGGAGTCGACTTTTTACGAATCCACTTTGTATCTGAAGTCGGCAAAGCCAAAACATTCCGGTGAGCTGGTTGTCACAGCGGCCAACAAATATGGTTCTGCCAAATCGTGGGCAAAAATGAATGTTGAGCGATGTTAGTCTCTGGAATTACTACTTCGTTAATTTCGTTATCAAAAGCTTTTCGGTTTAAGCATGAAGGAATTCTATTTAAGTTCGGCTTAACAAGCCGCTATAAACTAACGCTTAAATTACAGCATTTACAATACTCAATTGCTTTCCCACTTCTCTGAATCCTTATAAATTTTATCTATCGCATGCCGATCCTTCTCATTTTTGAAGGAGATAGCCTAATTGTTTTAGTCTTGCAATCCGAATATCGGTTACTGTGCGGAATATGCTACATCCAGGATTATCGAAGCCTGCTCCAAAGGCATTACTAGGACTAAGTAAATTATAAAAAGCACGATGTTGCATTTTGGTGATTTTGAGCGCAGTGCACACTTTTGGGCACAGTGGTGGCTGTACTTCACTTTGGTAATTTTTTGAGCCAAAATATCTTAATTCTAGGGTCATAATTTGCTTAATTCTGGATTTGTAAGATCAGCGTCTGTTTAAAGATGAGATGGTAAGTTGCAGACGGTGGAGTTAGAATGCTGATTCTAAATTAGTCCGAATCCGTATTTCCTAAAAAACAGTTGCACACACACACACACACACACACACACACACACACACACACACACACACACAC